GAATTATTCCTCAGGGAAAGCTTTTTAGTTGAACTAACAAATTTGAACATCTAGTGGAGTTAACATTGTTGTCTGTCTATACTGAATCCTCTTCCTTAAGTACACTGTTCCTTCACTTTATATTTAGGAGATCTGTAAGGTTTGATAACAGTGCAGAGACTAGGAACAGGCTCTAATTAACCTAAACTCTATTAATGGATAATTCCATTAATGCCTCTAAATATCTTATCTTCTGCTTCATAAGTGCCATTGCTTCTGACTCATAGCGACCCTGTGTACAATTTCTATGAAGGGGCTGGTGGACTTGATCCACCAACCTTATGGTTCACAGTCCATTTCTTATCTTAAAGTGCCACACCAGGGCTATATGATTATCTATGTAAATCACAGTCTGCACCTACTTAGAACAGAGATGTTGATTTGGCATCACTTTTTTGCCATTCTCTTAATTTTATAATATCTTCCCAATACTGTTTCTTATGAAGTTCTGCTAAAATGATACATTCTATTCATTTGTGTGGAATCATTTTAGGCATTTACTCATTGGTTTTACTTAATTAAGAAGACAGTAAAAGCAGGGTAAAAGTAGACTATAAAGACAGGGTCAGCTGAGACATTTAGAAACTCCGTTGTAGAAAAATTCATCCACTGTTAGCTTAATCAGGCTGGATGTCATAATGGTTCCACAAAATGTACAGACCATCCCATTCAGAAAAACAAAAACAAAATCACATCTAACACTAGACCCAAGGTTAGAGAGATGTATTCTGGTGATTCTCAGACCTCCTCTACTATTGTATACGTGTCTTCAGCCTGTCTTACAAGATAGATTTCCTACAAAGACAAACATTCTTGACAGAAACTATCTTTATGACATCTTGAGGCTTCTCTTGATTACTGCTAATTATCCACTAAGGTCTTCTCTTTTTAAAGTATGAAGTTATAATCACAAAGACATTAGAAGAGACAGTATCAGATCAAAGTTAAGGATCATTAAACCTTATTTTGTGCAAGCAGTAGCATATGTCATAGTAGATACACTTTATTCTCCTTTGAGAATATGTAAGTGTTCATTTAATAAACTTCCAGAAATTACTTCAGATGAGTCAGACATTGTGCTTTGTAGTATGCATGCCAAATAGTGAATACATATTCTACTTGAACCTTGCAGTTCAGTGGGAAACTGATGTGTAATGCAAAGTTTCTTTTCAGTATGAAGTTCTAAGAATAAATTAAGATCATTATTTTGAAATGACGTTGTTTACGCATACTGCCCTGCCTCCTGTTTTATGCCTTGACTTATAAAAAACATAACCATTCACAATTATAAAGTAGAAAACCCGACATTTCTTTTTGTTGTTTTAAGTATTTCTGACATATGATTAAGGCTGCTTTT